CACTACAGTGTTGGGAAGCAAATCCAACTCTGATTTATTAATTTAATTTAATTTAATGAAGTTAAATATGGTTTTCCTCTCCAGGAGAAGGGGAAAGTAGACAAAACCGAAGTTAATGGTGGGATTATTTGGGATGGGTGAAAAGGAAGGGCTTCTTTGATAGACTGAAAAATGATACAGCAGAGGCTTCCATTGTGATGCCAACAATTTTGATGGCTTTAGAAAGGAATTAGGCTAACATTAGTCCTTCCATGACCACTAATTTTGGGAGGTATATATTTAGAATAGCTCATGTGCCCTAAATAATCACCAGTGATTCAGAACCAAGCATGGAAAAGAGCTGTTGGTCTCTTAGTATTGCTTGCAGGCTTCCCAGATTCATCGGCCCCTATGGGACACGTGCCCCTAAAGTCACCTTGTGGCAAAATCTGGCAAACTCTTCTAAAGGCCTAAGGGCTGTGATATTATATCTGCTTGAAGGGCACGACTGCCCCGGAGTTAAATGCATCTTAATAATGCATTGCTCCAATGACTGCACTGCATTTTTCTGCAACATCATTGCATATAATGAATTGCTTCTTTGCACACTGTTATGTGCCTGTAGCCTTTGAATAATGTTTTAGCACTTTTAAGATTGGGGGGGGGGGGGCGACTTCTATTTGTTGAAGCCCCCCCTCCCGCCCATCTTAAAGTTGACAAGATTGAGAAACACTGCCATAGACTAATCTTGAAGTGAGCTCTGTTCCTAGTGATTTATAGGTAATAATGCAGGTGCCATTGCTGCATTCTGAGGATTCCTCCCCAAATCCATTCCCAATTTAAGTCTCTAGCTCTGAGATTTTGCAATATTCTCCATCCAAGGAGGAATCAGGTCTGAGGAAGCTTAGCATCCCCCCAAAAGTCAATATTGGCCAAGACTTTGCTTAGGCTGCATTAGAAGCCATACAATGAAGTTGTGAATCATGTATATGGCTATTTGAGGGGTGGGATGTGGGGGGGGGAGGCGGCTGGGCTCATCAAAAGAGGTTGCTCTCAAGTTAATTGCAGCCTCAATCATAAATTCCTCTTCCAATTTTCCCCGTCTCACTTATTCCCCTCCTCTCGCTATAATTTTCTTTCAGAGGCATAATCTTGGCGGTGAGGAGCCCCTCACCCTCATACTAATGAAACTACATCCCCCAGCAACCCTCGCGCGTTTGTAGTCTCCCCTTCTCCCCCCCCCTCCAATTGCTCCCCGTTCTCCAAAGGGTCCCCAACCATCCCCCTCGTCTTCGCGCGCTTCTCTGAAGATTAAAAGAAAGCCCAGTAACAATAACCGCTATTTCTTTCTGCGCTTGCGCGGCCAAAAGAAAAAAAAAGCGGCGGCGGAGGGGGGGGGGGTTTGATAGCGATGGAAACAGGAGAGGATGAGGACACTTAAAGAGAGCCCGCTCTCCCTCCTCCCCCTCCTTTCCCAGCAGCTGAGATAGCGGCAAGGACTGGCGTGCGCGCGGGCGGGAGGCAGAGGCTTGCCGCTGTGGGCTGCGCGCGCCTGCCGGTCAAGCCAAGCCGGCCAAAACAAGCCGGCGAAGGTCTGAGGACGCGTGCGCGCGGGCGAGACCCTAATTTTGGAGCGTTGGGGAGGCAGCCGCTCTGTCGCGCGCGCCGCAGGTAAACAAGCAACGGCCGCTCTCTCCCGCGGTGTGTGTGTGTGTGTGTGAGAGAGAGAGAGAGAGAGAGAGAAGAGGGGGGGGGCTCCGCATCAAAGGACGTGGGGAGCTCGAGCGGTAGGAAAGGGAGGGGGTGGTAGTGGTGGAGGAAAAGAGCGCGAGGGTGACGCACGCGCAGCGTCGCCTTCCCACCTGTATCTCTTTCCACGTTCGTCCCCTTCCATACACTCCCACCTCCAGAGAGTTTCAATCTGCTCCCTTTGTATTGGTCTGTGTGGGTCTGTGGGTCCTCAGCCTTTAGGGTCATTTTGGGGGAGATGTTGTCTGCTTTGCCTCATCTCATCTGCGGGGGGGGAGGGGAGAGTCTGGGGTGCCTTGTGGTGGTCTTTCTCATGCTCAAGGCTCCTTGGGCGCCTCAGCATCTTTTAATTAGATAATCAGAACTGCAGAAAAAACAATTGCCACCAGCCTGCCTTCCATTGAGGACCTGTACACTGCAGGAGTCAAAAAGAGGGCAGATATTTACAGACCCCTCACATCCTGGACATAAATTGTTTCAACTCCTACCCTCAAAATGATGCTATAGAGCACTGCACACCAAGACAACTAGACACAAGGGCAATCCCTCCCCCACCTGAACACCATCACTCTGCTAAACAAATAATTTCCTCACCACGGTCAAATTATTCACTAAGGCTGCATTACTATTACTAATAGTCTTCTCATCGTTCCTATCACCCATCTCTTCTCCCTTATGACTGCCTGACTGTAANGCTGAATTGCCGACCTCTCTGATCGACAAGCTCAGCATCTTAGCCACTGAGCCACTGTGTCCCACAGAATTAAGATAAAGTATGGCAATTTCCAGATGAATCCAAATAGAATAAATTTGATGAGCAGATGGCTTCCCTGGAACTGGGATGCCTTGAAGATATTCTTGCAACCGAGCAGAAAAGTGCCTAAATTGTCTCCATTCTCAATCAGGCCTACCAGTGCCAAAAGCAACCACATTAATATAGGATGCTTTTTTTTTAAATTTAGCAGTTTGAATTTTGCTGGTTGCTCACTCTCAAGAGATTGGGGCATTCCATAGCTGAGAACCCAACAAAGAATCTTTGCCTCATCTGATTCTTATTAAGAGATTGCTACTCTCCTCACCTTTCATTTATTGTGCATCTTGGAACATATCTATCCTTTGAAGCACAATTCATGAAAATCTTAATGCTTTTGGAGAAAGGGTGATCAATCATGCAAGACACTCCAGCAGATGGTTGTTTTCTACTGCCGGTTATCTTGTGTAACATGGATACAGAATACTGAAGGGGGTTGCTTATTATGAATTCTGTCTTGTTCTTTTGTGTTGCTTGGGTTTTCACTTCCTGCCTCAAACTGGGGATGGGGAAGGGCTGATCTGAGCCAAAGGCCGCTATTTAAAATATCTTGGGGTGTACACATCCTGCTGCTGAAACCGCACTAGGAGTGATTGGAAGCCAGACAATAAACAGAAGGGCTGCTGCCGCTAGATTTTGAGCAGAGAAGCTCGTGTGAGTTAAGCAAGGCTGAAACAGCGCCCAGCTGACTTTCTTCCATGCTACTCAGTCTGATGTGGCTTTTTTTTTTTTTTTTGGCTGACCAAGGATATGTAAAAAATGGGGAACAATTTCTGTCTTCCAAGCAGGGAGAATCCATGCAAGTATATTTGGGGCGGCGGGCTAGAATTGGATGTTACGCTGTTGGAAGAAATGTTCTTCTGGGTTCAGTTCCAAGTAGGGAAAAAGAAACTGGAAACAGAGGCTGCTTGGAAAGATGGTTTAATGATGGACAGGATCATTGGACAGGATTAAGGTCCTGAACAGAAAAGGGGGGGGGGTCACATGCTTCAAATGTTGGGTAAAGAAGAAAGGGCTTGCTGGGTTTTTATACTCTGTTCGGCCCCACCTCTCTGTTTCCTGTTCCTGTGTAAGAAATGTATTCTGATTGGTTGTCAGACTCCCATGCGGCCATGTAGGGGCAACTCTCTAGGCTGTGCTTTGAGTCCAAGTTTGATTGAGTTTCCAGATGCCATGTGGTGAATTTCTGTAGAAGGCTAATCCTACCTTTATTATGTAAAGTAGACTAGCTCAGGCTTTAAGGGCTCATTGGCAAAAGGGGAGGGGGGAGGTATGGGAAGCTGCAGGGAGCTACTCTGTATTTAAAATCATGTTTCTTCCTTTTCACATCCAGGGAAATATAATATTCTGCCTTCTTAATATTTCCCGGGATATTTCAGTTTTCTAGCAAAGGGTAGGTTTTAATTTCCTACAACGCAGAACCAAAGTGTGGTTGGATAGCTTTGGGGTGTGAAACCTTAAACAGGAGGTTTTCTACAGATGTGGGGAAAAAAAGTCATATCACTTTATCATTCCAACACCCTTTGGCTGCTTAGGACTTGCAGGGGGAATAATGTGGTGCAACTAGTTAGCATGCAGGACTAGTCTTAAGACTGTTTCAAACTAGTATCTCAGTATAATATAGGGGGAAAGAGCAGAATAGCAAACTCCCTTAAGCTTCATGGAGAAAACCATTTATTCAACTTGGCCTGCCCATTTATCATATAAGATGGACTATGACTCAGGCTGGCCTATGCTGAGATGATTCAGAAACTCTACATTGAATCCTTTCCAAATGTATTCAGCATTGCGTTTGTGTCATTCTAGCAGTCTTACCACCAAGAGGATCCAATAATTTTAGTCAAGAACTAGAAAAAGCTGAGGGGAGACAAGTTGATCAGTTGCATCCCCCCCCCC